AACGATTGTATGAAGGGGTTTGTTAAAAGATTAGCTGATATTTTTTATTACCGTGTGCATAAATATGATATACAGTAGTCTGAGTCTACAATTTATAGGATGACCTCTTGGGCTGCTATTTCGCAGAGGCCCGCTAAAAAGGTGCCTGATTATAAATTTTGCATTACTTTAGAAATAGATATGTCTACCCTGTGAGGCTTAGTGAGGAGAAAAGCAATCTATCAAAATGTGGCAAAAGACTTCTGTCTGCTTTTATTCAACTTAACTTTAAGCCTATTAAATGTTCATTGCATAAATATATATATATATATATATATATATATATATATATATATATATATAAACTAAATACCACAGAGCCAGCAACACATTTCGTCTGGAATAAATGAAAGTATGAGTAGTCTTGCCGCAGACCCGAGTATGCTGTAATGTGAACAACATGTAAACACAAAGATACACTCCTTGTATGGTAAAGCCTCTGGCTTGTTCAGGTTCTTCTAATTGTAACTGCTGGAACTGGATTTAGATTGTTTCACTAACTTAATTTCCAATTTGGTTTTAATGAGATTCTAAAGAGGAGCATGTGTGTGCCTGCATGCAACAATCTTTCGGTGTGGGTGTTTTTCCTTTATCTTATGACCGATAGTGTGTCTGCTGCATATGAGTGGAAAACCATGTGTTGTAACAAGTGTTTCAAAGGTAGTCCGTGCACACACACAACAAGCACACACGTTTGCTTGCAGCCAGTTTAATGAGCCTTGGCTGCCTCCCAAGTACAAATGAAGACCTCCAAACACTTGTTTCCTTCTGCATTAATGATGCTATCATAGTTCATCATATCATAGTATCAAATGACAAACACGTTATCACTTCTTTTTGCACACATGCAGCAGCTGAGGGGTGCAAAGAAGAGCAGACATTTCCACCAAAAATTAATAAAAAATGCAAAAATATGGAGCAAAAGGATGGGAAGAAACAAACGGTTTACAGTAGATTGGATGTTATCAATAAACCCTTGTAGAAAAACACAGACAGACACAAAACAACAAAGATGGACATGCTGAGTAATGTGTCATTGATGGTATCAGTGAAACATTAGTCAAAGCAGTCAGCCATATAACAAGCCCCATTAGGATGATTGCAGCTCTTCCAGAACGTCACTGAACTGAATGGACTAGTTTACAACCATTCGCCAGAATAAGAACAGACCAGACCTATGCACTAAAACTGACCTCGTAATAACTGGAGTGCTGTGCTCATCTGTTGCATACTGTGCAAGAGGCTCATTGTAAAAGTGAAAGAGCAAACCGATTCATTTCTACAGGCATCTGTTCAAATCAGTAAAACCAAAGGGGGCGCAACGACAGCTTAAGCACAATGGTTGAAACTGTAGCTATCTTCATGTATGAATAATGCACTTCTTTTTTGTCCAGACTTTGGAAAAACAAAGTGTGTGTTGGTAAAAGCAAGCATACTTATTTGCTGCAGATTTGAGACTAGGATAGCAATTTGATAGTTTTATTTTCCTTAATTGGAAGGA